CTTAATTATTTGTTTCTCTTTAGAATTTAGAATGCTGAGCAAACGAAGGGAAAGTAGCCTTTCAAAGGACAACCCAAAAATGAGTTAGATTCATACTATTTTAAAAGACAGTGTAACTACTCAGGTGTTTTGCTTGGTCATTATTCAGTTTGCTACCAGCATCTTTTTCTCACCCTCTGCATGTTAATGACATTTAGGTGCCCGATAGTTAATTTTACTTCATGTTCCTGCACTAAATGATAATGTTTGGAGGGCAAAATTTTTATGCTTTGGCCAGGAACTTCTTGTTCCTCTCATTTGCTAGTATTCTCCCTGACATTTAAATTAAAATTTCAGGGAGTAATACACTTTGACTCTGTATTTCATGCTCATAAACCATAGATTTCTTCTGAGCCTAATTTATTGGAGTTAATTTGATCTCCACTGGACTGAGTAAAAGTTAAGTTGTAGAGGAGGTCAGAAAGGGTGATATGATAGTAATGAGGCATTGTGTTGAACTTGTATCCATTTTAAAACCATGAAGAATCTGGAATGAACTAGTACTATTTTAACCCTTTTCTTTGGACAGAGATATCCTTTTTACTTACTTAATTGCTACTATGAAGCCTTTGAATCATGCCACAGATGATAGCCAGGAAGTACAGAGGAAAGGGAGATAGGGAGGAAGTAGCTGAGCAATATAAAGTAAAAAGCAAATAAATAAGAAGTCATTTTAAATTATAATGTGAAAGCAAGTTTCAGAAGTGACTCCTTAAGCTGTGTAGTTCTTAGCATTGTTCAGTTCCCTGCAGTGAATTTATGCCTATTTAAATCCCTAAAATGGAGGCACTTCATAATCTTCTACAAAGCTATTTGAAAAACTAAATACAGAAAGTGAGTGGGTGGGTGGATCCTTAGGTGATAAGGCAATGGATACGAAAGGGGATTGAAAAAGTGACAGCACCTACTGTTCTCTGCAGAACTCCTTTAATTAACTTTGGGCCCTTCAGTGTTAGAGGTCTCCTGTAGCATTAGCTGTCTAGCTCCTTCCTTCCCTCTTTGCCCTCACTATCAGCCATTCTTTCAGTGTGTTTCCTTCCTTTGTCAAGAAAATAGTCTGCATTGGCTTGGGAATTAGGTAGACCCGAACCCAGATCTGCTTTGGCTGTTTATGAACTTATGATTTTGGACAAATATTTTAGCCTTTATGAATCTGGGTTTAGTTAGGTATGGTGGGTTGAAATCTACCATGTTTATAAGTTATGAAGATTAAATAATTAGTAAGGGTAATTGTCTATCCTGTAAAAGCTCAGTGTTTATTCCTTCTTTTCCCTTCTTGGCTCCATATTGAGGATATACTCCTCAGTGAAATAAATAAGTCACACATGTGTAAATACTGAATAGTTTCTCTGGTGTGAAAAACTATAATGGTACATAAGATCCTAATGATATAATTGACCATGTGAAATAGGAAGAAAAGGGCTAAAGGTGTTGGGAAAGTGGGAAGGGTAGGGGAAAGGGAATAAGGGAAAAGAGAAAATATGAGAAAATGAAAAAATGGAAATAAAATATTTGTAAATAGGGAAGGGAGGAGGGGGTGAAGGGAGGGCAGGGACAAGGGGCAAAAATGAGACCCAAGACCTGTCATGTAAAGGTTCAAGATCCCAATAATGAATGTAACTGTACTGTGTACCTAAAATGTACCAATAAATTCAATGAGAGGAAAAAAAGAAACTGTGCTTTACTAGTTTTTTAAAAAGGAGTTTGTGTGCAGTTTTGAAAATATTTTCAGATGTCCAATACCAATTCTATAAATGCAGTGTAATTTAACAAAATATTTCAGAAACTAACACAGGAAATCTCTGACTCTAAGCGCTGTTCCAGGTATTATTCTTAGCTTATCATTAAATTAAAGCTCAGAGAAGTATTAAAGTTATCTCAGAGAAGATTGTATTATTAGATGAGGTAGCCAACATGTACTTTTTAAAATTGTTAGTGCTTGTACTTTTTAGACAATTAGAAGGTTGCGTAGTGGGCAAAGTTCATCAAAGCACACCTACCAAAGTGAGGCTGATTCATAGTCTTTCATTTCATTTCAAAGTTACATGCAAGTGTTGGGGAAAGTTTCATGAATTTCTAAGGCAGAAGATAGATCATCATGAAATGAAATGACAGTGCTCATAGTGTGCAGATATAGGAACCTTATAGTTTACTATCAGACTATTTGACCACAGTTGAAGATGATTGACATCATTCATGTTGCAGTTATTTGTATGTTTAGAAATCAGTATCTATATTATTGATAGGATTTTCTTTTATTTGGTACTGTGGATTGAACACAGTGCCTTCTCACTCACTGAGCTACATCCCCAGCCTTTTTTTTTTTGAAACAGTGTCTCATGCAGTTGCCCTAGACTCAATCTTGTGATGCTGCTGCCTCATCCTCCCAGACTAGTAGGATTACGCCACACCTGGTTTATTGACAGGAGATGGTACAGTCATATTCTCATATTTTTTTCCCAAGTGGCAGAGCCTCAAATACTTTGTTGTGACAATATGTCTGTCTGTTAGGCTCTTCTTGTATACCTGAGTTATAATACTGGATGTGCTGACTGTATATATTACCCTCATTTTAGACAGGAAAGTGAGGCATAGAGAAGGGAAAGAATACGGTATTCTTACAGTGTGCTTGTGATAGGGAATGATTTAGCCTTTTTACCTAACATTAGAGGACCATGTCTTTAATGTATGTTATTTAGTGATTTGCAAACATGACTCTTTGGTGTTTTAGTACTAAGTTTTTTTTTTTTTAATGGGTATCCAGAAAATGTTTATGATAAAGACCAATATTTAAAATGGAGATGGCAAAATTTTAAAAAAAGGAGAAGGCAGTTTTCTGGCATAGATATTGCACCTATCCTTTTTTTGCTCATGGTAGACATTGATGCAGAGTCTAGATAAAATCCTTTTTTCTTTTCAATATTTTGAGACAGGGTCTCCCTATGTAGTTCAGGCTGGTCTTGAATTCACTATGTAGGCCAGGCTGGCCTCTAACTTGTGGCCATCCTTCTGCCTCAGCAACACAAATACATTACAGGCATGTCCTCCACACCTGGCCAAAATCCTTTTCAACATATTGCTTAAGTCAGCTACTTCTAGCCAATCACAGGTCCTTAAAACAAAAACTTTTTTTAGTCTTTATTTATAGCATATTACATTAATTTGCATTAAGATATTATAAATTTACTTAAAAGTTAAGGCGGGTCTATAGTGATCCTATACCAGACCTCAAAGTGTGTAGGACTTAGTTTATTCTCTCAACAGGGTCACTTTCTGAAGGGTCAAATATACATGTCCAAATTTGGAAGTCCGATTCAGCAGTATTATTAGTATGATGTGAATTGGGAAAGACACAAGATTATTTGTAAATAGAAAGGTTTTTTTGGCTGTAGTGAGTTTTGGACTGTGAAAGAGGACCTCTGAGGTAGCCTTTACAACTTGAGTTCGAAAGGCATAGAGGGTAGGAAGCGTAGGGTGAATTTTGGCGAGTGAGATGCATCTTGAAGTGTAGCTGTTTTTGTTGTTATTGTTTTCCTTCCTTTATCAGTACTGCTTTCAGGCAGTGTAATCAGTCTTAGCAATCATTCTGTACAACATAGAATCCATTACATTTTTTCTTTTTTTGGTATGGGGGAATTGAACTTGGGACCTTGTGCTTGCCAGGCAGGCGGCAGAACCACTGATCTAAATCTCTAGCCCTTGGCCATTACTTTTTAAAGTTTATAGATTCTTAGTTTAAACCATACTTGTTTGACTACAGCTGTTGGAGTTTTGGTCAAAAATTCACACATTTAGGCATACATATTCGTCCCCTTTTACAATATTAGGTGTTGGGGATAAGATATAACTCTTAATATAATTCTATAACTCTAACTTGAAAGTTTATATGATCTTTCTCAATGTTTTCTTTTGACATAATTAATAAAACACTCTAGAAACTAATTCTTAGGCCAAATTTAAATTTAAAAGTTTAAGAGATTACAGTGGTATAAAATATATACCAAAGGGCTGGGGATTTAGCTCAGCGGTTCGGTGGCCTGCCTTGCAAGCGCAAGGACCCGAATTCAATCCCCAGTACCAAAAAACAAAAACAAAACAACAACAACAACAAAAAAAACCCAGTGACTCAAAAGCATGTGTTTTTCTTTTCTTTATATTTTGCTTTTGTGTTTTTGTAGAATTTTTATATATGAGCAGATAGTGACTATATCTCTTTTATATTTTAATATTTCTGTTGCATCTTTATAATCTCATAGGACATGCCTTAATATTTTAAACAATTACTAGTTTTATGCTCTTGTGAGTATATTGAACTTTATCATTTTGTATTATCTTTAAAATAAATTTGAGATTAATGAATGAATCAACTTCATTAAATGTTTATTCTTTTCACATTTGTAGTAATTGTATGTTTAGGTTACTGCATGGAAGCTCTTTTGAGATAGTGGCTTAAAATGACATTGATATTTCAGCCACTATTACCAGAATTTTTCTTTTTTTTGAGACTGTTATAATCTTTACCTACACCTGTTCCATGGCTTTAGTAAAGTTTAAAAAGTATATCCCGGGTTTTGTAAGATCTTATATATTGTTTTTAAAAAATATAATCCATTTATGTTTTTTTTAAGAGAGTATAACCTAAAATGAAAAAAATTATTTTGACTGGAAATTGGACAATTTACTTGCTGTAGAAGTATTTTTTAAAATCAAATTGGTAGTCTAATTTTATTATTTATGGTCTTTGTGGTCATCATCTATAGCCCAAGTTTATAAAAGTGTAAAAATGTTTTCCTCTGGCATAAAGTTAATGATTTAATTAGTATAATCAATATTTGTGAAAGAGTTTTGTAGGAATCATAAATAGCTTTTGAGTTTGCCTACATGTAGTTCTATATGTATTCACATGTCCATGTAATAATCCTTAGGAATGTTTAATCTACTTTTTTTTTTTCCCTCCTCAGATTCTGACACATTTTAAGAACAAATGTACCTTATAGCTCATGGAAGAAAAAACACAAATCAGAACATTTTTGGGTTCCAAGTTGCCAAAGTATGGAGCAAAATCTGTAAGAAGTACACTACAGCCAATGCCAAATGGGACAGCTGTTAATTTATTAGGAACGTCCAAGAGTAGTAATGTGAACAGTTACATCAAAAACAATGGATCTGATTGTTCATTTTCCCATTCATTTAACTGGAGAAAAACAAGTAAATACAAACTTAGTGCTCAGAGTACTGAAGAGCCTAATAATATTCATAATTCACATGATAAATTAATTGATCCTGAAAAACATGCTCCTACTCAAGGAAGGTTTGATAAAAATGGAATAAAGGGAGGTTTGAAAAGTGCTTCTCTGATCACATCAAAGATAGCAAAGCCATCCACTATGTTTGTGTCATCTACAGAGGAATTAAACCAAAAGTCTTTTTCTGGACCATCTAATTTGGGTAAATTCACCAAAGGCACATTATTGGGAAGGACTTCCTTTTCTTCGATCAGTGCTCCAAAATCACAGTTGAATGGATTTTATGGCAACCGATTGACAAGCAGCATGCAGAGGCCTAGAGCAAACTCCTGTGCCACCAGAAGCAGTTCTGGCGAAAGCTTAGCACAGTCCCCAGACAATATTAAATCTATTACTTGTGAGAAAATGGTAAGGTCGCAAAGTTTTTCACATTCCATTGAGAATTCATTCCTTCCCCCTTCATCTATAACCAGGTCACATTCCTTCCATAGAGCTGTAGACCTCACAAAGCCTTATCAGAACCAACAGCTACCCATTCGAGTGCCTCTCCGGTCAAGTATACTAGCAAGAAATTCCAGGCAGTCAGAAGTACTCAATGGGAATGAACATTTGGGGTATGGATTTAATAGGCCTTATGCTGCTAGTGGAAAGAAGTTGGCTTTGCCAAGTGGGCCAAGTGTAACTTCCTCTTTGGGTTATAGGATGGTTCATCCCTCTCTACTGAAATCTAGCCGACCTCCATTTGCTGGGACTCTCACAGTTGATGGCAATAAAAATTCACCTGCTGACATGTGTGTAGAGGAAGAGACTGCAGATTTGACTAAGGACAGCACTACTAACAAGGACCAAGAACTAATTGAAAATGAAAGTTATAGAACAGAAAATGACCAGACCATGAAACATGATGCTAAAATTAGATACCTGAGTGATGATGTGGATGATATTTCCTTGTCGTCTTTGTCATCTTCTGATAAGAATGATTTAAGTGAAGACTTTAGTGATGATTTCATAGATATAGAAGACTCCAACAGAACTAGAGTAACTCCAGAGGAAATTTCTCTTAAAGAAGAAAAGCATGAAAATGTACCATCAAAAGATATATTTGATTCTCCTAAGGAAAATGAAAAGGACTTCAATAAAACGGATGAATGGCTAGCTCTAAGTGTATCTGGTAAATATTAATGTCCTTAAGTTTATTTGCTTTCCCCTAGATAATGATATTGACTTTACATTTAGAATTTTCTGATAAATTCCCAAGATACTGTCAGTTTCACAGAGGGATGGATCTGGATGAAACTTGACTGGACAGCATTTATTTTCCTTGTGACTTTGCTCCCTAGTTCATTTTTCACCCTATCTAAAATGAAATTAGTAAAAGCACTCTTGCCTTTTCCCTTCTTTAGCTGTCACACCCCTATTCCTACTTAGTTCCCAAATTATTTTTTCCCTCACTTCCCCCAGACAGTGGTAAACCATCAAACATAAACCATCAAACAAACCATCTTTACAGTTAGTTAGTTACTCTTTGTAAGAGTAAAACTGTATTATACCAAAAGGCAAATGAGATAATATAGGCTATATCCAATCTTATTTTTTAATCCCAGAAAATCAGTCTTTATCATCATACTTTCAGAGGAGCTTTATATATTTTTTTAATTGAAGAAAGTAAGGTAGCACCTTTTAAACATTTCCTCTTATAGTAGATTATACTGGCTCTAAATACTGGAGAGAAGGTATCAGTGTATCCATGTATCCCGAATAAAGAACAAACTAAAGAACTTGGATAAAGGCATTGTGGTTTAATGAAGGGTTTGGGTCGTGTGTAGAGATTTACATAAATTCTTTTTTGGGGGGTGTTTTTTGAGACAGGGTCTCACTATGTAGTTGAGACTGACCTGGAACTCACTATGTAGCCCAGGCTGCTCTCAAACTCATAGTTTTCCTCCTGCCTCAGCCTCCTGAGTGCTGGGATTACAGGTGTGCATCACCACGCCCGGCTATGAACTCTTGATTGTCAGTGAGTCTTATAAAAGTGACTGTCAGAGCAAGTTTTTTTTCTTACAGTGGGGCAACTGTGAGGTTAAATAATATGCACAGTGGAAGGTAGTTTCCTGGCTAGTGGTTAAAAGTAAGTATCTGAGAAATATTAAAGGAATGTGAGGCTTTATTTACATTTTTAGTAATGTTACAGAAGTGAAAGGTGACAGAACGAACTTTCCTTTTGCTCCCTGTTCAACATTACAGTAGAGTATATTTAAGACTTTGTTGACTTTTTATTGCTTAAATTTTAGAAAATGCTATGTTTATGAATACTTTTTGAGCCTTTTTATGATACATGAAATCATTAGAGCTTATATTTTTAGAAATAAATTTATCATGTGAATTAATAACTTTTTATCTCTTTTTAAATCAATTGAAGACAGGAGTGAATGTGCAAAACATACTTCTGGAAATAACTTAATTTCACCGGATACAGATTATAGAGCTGGTTCTTCATTTGAACTCTCTCCATCCGATAGCTCTGATGGAACGTACATGTGGGATGAAGAGGGCTTGGAACCCATTGGAAGTGTACACCCTGTTGGCAGCTATGAGTCCTCTGAAATGAACAGCATAGTATGTATGGATTTATATATCCTTTTGGGATAGTTTGCTTACCTTACTATAAAAAGACCTGACGTTGCATTTATTTTTTAATTTATGAATTCTCTTTTCTAGTTTGAAAAATAATTCATGTCTCTTAAGGGCCTATAAGTATAGTGAGGCATGGAGAATATCTGATGTTGGACTTCAGTGTACTCACACAAATTCAAGTGCTTTCATCATACTGTACATACTATATTGGTCAGCTTAAGCTAGGCCAGTGGTTCTTGAGGTGGAGCAGGATAGTGTGTAGAGACAGTTTTGGTTGTAACGTTAAGGAATGTTACTTAGTGGGTGGAGACCAGGGATGCTGCTTATCATCTCCCAGTGCACAGAGTAGTGCCCATGACAGAGAATTACCTAGCCTAACATGGCAGTGGTGCTGCTGCTGAGAGACCCTAGGTTGGGCTATGTTGACCTGCCATTCAGGCACCACCTCTTGACTGGTTTAACACTGTAAATGTTTTGTTGTTAGAAAGTCTACTGCAGTTTTGGACAGTTCTCTAAGACAGTTGTCTTTACTGACCTGTGCTGCTTCACACTTGGGTCTCCACCTTTTATGAGGCTCCTTGTCACTGGCAAAGGGAGCTAGAAAGTCTCACTCATGTAGTTACTTGCTTTGGCCTGCAGGTGGGACCTGGCACCCTTGCTCACAACCTGTGGACCAGCACTATGGTCTCACATAAATATTATGTCTCATAAAGTCTCATATAGTCCCACATAAATATTAAGAGGACAGGAAATGTTATTTTCCTGTGTCCTGAAAGGTGAAGGAACTAGGTGTGTGAGTATGCTGGAAGACCTGTCATGCATTTTATACAAGCATATTTTAGGAAATACAAATAATGTAGATAAGTAAGCCATATGGATAAAATGTAGCTGGTGTGTTTAAAAATGACTCATCACAATTATTTTTATATAAAATAGGATTTTAGAGAAAATCAAATTAGTAATCTTTATGGATAAATTAACACTCCAGGTGGATTTTAGTGTCATTTTCTTTATTCATACAAACCTGTGGTTTGTAAAAATCAGATATTGTTACCAGAGGTTTTTAAAGTTGTATAAGTATAGAGGGAATGCACATTTTAATTTAGAGAAAATATCTCATAAGATAGAAAAGCAAAGATTGTGGATTAGGGCCTTGTGTTTTCTTGCTAGTACTTTTAAAGTACAGTACTGTAAGACTGAAAAAGACACGAATATAGTGTCCAGCAGATGACAGCAACAAGCCACTTGGTGTCTGATGGTTTCAGAAGTTAACCTTCAATCCTCTGTCCCATAACTAATGTCTTACTTAACGGAAAAAGAACTTTAGCATGTTCTCACTTTTCTTCATTTTGACAGTAGTGCTTATCCCAGTCTGGGTCAAGAGGTACTTTCACTAGAATATGTGTTACTGTATTACTGTAACACATTTTAGTTTGATTCAATGGCTCATCTGTTGTTCTCATAGTATGAGTTTCTCCTGGGAGGCACAGTGTGTTGATATCCATTCTGGTACAACCCCTAACCTGTCATGGACCCAACAAATGGTTTGTAGACTGAGTACTTTCCATAACACCAGTCTTGAATTCTGTTTGTATTGTTGTTTAAATGCTGGCAGAATTTTGTTGAGTTATAGTTTATATACAGTAAAATATACACATCTGCAAACAACCCAGAGAATTTTGACAAACATACATACTTGTTTGGCAGTTATGCAGATTTAAGATATACAGAGGACATATCCCAAGATATTCCTTTTCTGTTCCTTTTGGCCATGCTTTTAGCAACACAGAGAGATGCAGCCACTATCGATTATTTTCTGGTCCTATGCAGATTAGTTTTCCTATGCTTGAACTTTATAAGTGGAATTATAAGCATGTACTGCTTAATGTTGGCTCTTTCAGTTAATGCCTGGTATTTTTAAGTTGCAGTTTGTTCATTCCTCTTGTGTCATATTTATTTTTGGGAATAGAGTATGTATTTTATCCCATTGTAAATGGGCATTTAGTTTGTTTCCAGTAATTGGCTGTTAGAGAATTACACTGTTTTATCTTGCTGCGTGTTTTCTGGTGAACAAGCATTATTTCTGTTGATAAAACATGTAGGAGAAGGATCCTTTGGTTATAGGATATGCTTGTGCACACAGGTAGTTTTCCAAAGTGATCCTGTTGACAGCTCCCACACTGGCAGTAAGTGAATATATCTGCACTTAGTGTTGTCTGTCTTTATAGCTTTTTTTGTTGTGGTGGGGGTGCAGTAGTATTGTGTTGAGATTTTTGTTTTGTTTCCCTTAGTAACTACTCATTGAGCACTTTCACAAATATTTGTTGGCCTTTAGGGTATCTTCTTCTGTGACATGCCTTCTGTTGAATTATCTGTATTTTTTCTTACCAATTTGTAAAAACTCTTTAGTTTGGATATAAATTTTTATATATGTAAATACATAATATATGTATTTAAAATATTTATGTTATAATACATTTCCGCTATAGGTTGCCTTTTAAATTTCTTAGTAGTATCTGTTAATAAGACAGTTTTAATATTATTCATTTTATAATTTTTCCCCTTATTACCACTTTTTTAAAACTGTCAAATCTTTTCCTACCTTAAAGTCATAAAGTTATGTTCCTATGTTTTCTGCTAAAGACTTTATCTATTGGTTTATATTTCACCTTTCCTACAGTTCACCTGGAAATTACTTTAGTGTACAGTATATGACAGAGATCAAAGTTAATTTTTGGTTTCGGGAGTCATCTTTCCTCATTCTATGACAGGGCTGTCTTTGTCATGAATCAGTGATTGCACATAGAAATATTTTTGAATCTCTTTTAGTTCATTGGACTACTTGTCTAATCTCCTGACCATACTACACAGTTTTAATTATTGTAGCTTTAAAAGTTTTGATATCTGGTAGTGTGAGTCTTCTGTCTTTGTTTTTTTCCAAGATTTTTTCTAGCTCTTCTCAGCTTTTTATATTTCCTTTTGAGTATAAGGAGGAACTTAATTTCTATGAAGGCCCTGGAGTGATTTTGAAAGGGATTGCATTGAATTTAAGAGATCAGTCTGGAGAGAATTGACATATTTGTGGTATTCTTTTTCCTCCATTTTTTTGGGCTTTAGCAATATTTCTTGCTAAATGTTTTATATTTTTCTGTAAAATGTTACACATATTTTAGATCTTTGATTTTGCTACTGTAGATGATCCCACTTTAAAATATTTTTAAAGTTTTTATTTATGTTCATTTATTCTAATAATTGTCTTATGAATGTTTTTGGAATTTCCATATATACCATATAATCATGCCATTTGCACCTGCCCATTCCCATGTTAGGATGACCAACATAATATTGATAGAATTTCAGAAGAAACATTTTGTTGTTCGTCATTAAAGTTTTTTTGGGGACGGAGGGAGGATTATCAGGTTGTGGAAGTTCCCTTTTGTTTACTGATTTTTTGTTGTGAATTCCATTACTGTTTACCAAAGATCCAATTCTTTTGATACAGTTGAATCATTTTTTTCTCATTGGTTTGGTGGATTGCATTGTTTTATTTTCAGATATTAAGCTACCTTTCCATTGCAGGAATACATTCTCTTAGTTGTGATTGTATTATTCCTTCTAATGTTGTTAGACAACTATTATTTCATTATATTTTATTTATGTCTTTTGTAGTTAAACTCATGAGTAAGATTATTCTGCTTTGTGATTCTTTATTTTTGTTATGGTTGGTATCAAGTTTATGCTTTATAATGAGTCAATAATGTTCCCTGTTTTTATTTTTGAAGGAGTTTGTATACAATCGTTGACATCTTTTTCCATAAGTGTTTAAAAGAATTCACTAGAATTCAGGCTTCTGGAACTGGAGTTTTCTTTGTGAGCAGGTTTAAGATACTGAACCATTTAAAAAATATACATATTTTTGTGTGGCTATTGAAAATTTCATCTGAATTTGTCATTTGCTGGTGAAAGTTTTTCAAGATTTTTTTAAAACATCTTACAGCCTTATCATGATGCTCATATTTTCATTCCTGTTGCTGTGATTGGATTTCCCCATCTGTCTTCAAAGTCAGCAGTGGTATGTTGAATACTGTATCATTAGAGTCTTCCTTCTGCCTCCCCCTTTCTCCGAGGGACCTGTATAACTGTATTGAGCCCATCTAGATATTGCAGTATACTATCCCTATTTTAAGGTCAGCTGATTAGCAATTTTACCTTACTTTTCTTTACAGTGTAATCTAACATCATAATTTCAGGAATTAAAGTGTGGACAGTATTGAGGGGGCATTTATTTTTCTAACAACTGGAGATAATACTTTTCAAAATTGTAGAAGAGTACTATTATTAATTATAGTAATTATTTTTTGAGATCAACAGTTTTGGCTCTAATAAGGTATAAATTTGGTTTAAAAATAAACTAGTAAATTGTAAGCACAATTCAGTCAAAATCAGTTTAAATTAACCTAAACTGGTGGCATAATTATTCATGTGTCTTTCTCTAGTGATTTGTAATGCTGTAGCGTATCATAGATTTTATATGGAGATCTTAAAATGTTTTTTTACTATTACTGTATTAATACTCTTGATGTTTTACATTTGGACATCATTAGTAGTCATATATGCACATGTGTATATGGGGATTCATATTTTCTGTAAATTAACATGGGGTTTAAAGATAACTTCTTTTTAAGAATGGCAGTTAAGAGCTAATAAGATTATGGGAAATACTGTTCTTTTCAGATTTTAGATTTTTTTCCCCTCCTTTTAAAAATACATGGTATAGTGAATACAATTCGTGATATTTTCACCTCTTTATTTCCTAGTGTCTAGTATTCAATATAACATTAGATTAGCATTCTGTAGATTATAAAATATAAAGACATGCTTTTTAATTACCAGCAATGTAAATGATAAATGTATTTCATTTCATTGATTGCCTTACATTAATAGCTTCTTACACATCAATAATTACGGGTCTAGATTTCTTC